TAAATATTTTATAGCACCCTCGGCCCACCGGTCTATTTGATATCTCTTTCGTCAGCCCACCCGTATATGTAATACATTCCACGTCGGCCCACCTGTATATGTAATACACCCTACGTCAGCCCACCCGTCTATGTAATATTTCCCTACCTCGGCCCACCCATATATGTAATACACCCACGTTGGCCCGCCCGTCTATATAACAATATTTGCCTTACATCTCTCTTCAGCCCAGCTGTCTATAATATCCTACTCTACATATTACCCAGATGGGCCCACCCATCTCCATGAATGATCATATTCCCCCGGCCCATCTGTCAACATTGAGGATATATATATCATTGGCATACATGGGCCCACCCGTCTCCATCGGAAATAATATGAGTCCCGGCCCATCCGTCATCATCGAGAATATACACAACATGGGCCCATGATCAGCTGGCCCGTCTCATACGGGATATTATGGAGGTCGGGTGGCCCGTATAATACGGAATTTGTCACTGAAGGGGCTCGGAGTTTGCCTTGGAGGTGGATGCCTATGGGCTTCCGGTCATGCCAGATATCGAGGACCTCAGCCTAGAGAAAAAGAAGTGTCTTATCCGGACATTCCTCACAAGACACTACAGTACGTCTCATGAATTAAATATCTGAAGATTTAATCAGGCAACTATGTATTTTGCAGGGTTTTGCAGTCAAAAGCCAAAGGCTTCCGTTCCTTGGTCTGCAGTAAGGGAGGCTCAGGATGATTTTATTGAGCCCAAGTTTTTACCTGCCGGTGTGAAGATCAAGGACCCATCAAAGCTTCAGTTGCATGAAGCCGACAGGTTGTTAGAGTTCTGGCATCAGAGACAAAAGGACGCGATTCCATCAACATTTGAATTCAAAAGCTGGCAAGACCACGACAAGGAGATGAGAGAACCGGTGAAGAGGACCTCTGGGCAGGTGGAACAAGACTTGGGCACCGAGGAGGAAGATCGTGATGAAGGTGCTATGGATGGCATGAGATCCGGTCTACCAACTGCAAAGACCAAGGCTCCAGTTAAAAAGCCAGCCAGAAGGACAGAACACCGGTCACAACAGCCAACCGGACGGGTCGAGCAGGAGTCAAGTAGTGAGGGGGAGGATGGTGACGAAGGTGCTGACTATGACACGAGATCGGGTCTGGCGACAGCAAAGACCAGGGTTCCAGTGAAAAACACAACCGGAAGGAAGGAACACCAGTCACGAAAACCAACCAGAAAGCCGACCGGACGGGTGGAGCAGGAGTCAGGTAGTGAGAGAGAGGATGGCGACGAAGGTGCTGACTATGGCACGAGATCTGGTCTGGCGAAAGCAAAGACCAGGGCTCCAGTTCAAAACACAACCGGAAGGAAGGAACACCAGTCACACAAACCAACCGGCAAGCCGAACAGACAGGTGGAGCAGGAGTCAGGCAGTGAGGGGGAGGATGGCGAGGAAGGTGCTGGTGATGGCAAAAGACCCGGTCTAATGACTGCCAAGACCACGGTTCCAGTTGACAAGCCGACCGGAATGATCGAGCCTGCCGTTCTGGCGACAGCAAAGGCCAGGGTTCCGGTAAAAAAACCAACCGGCAAGCCAACTGGGAAGTCAACTGGAAGGATGGAACGCCAGTCAAGTGGCGAGGGCAATGGAGGGAATGAAGATGTCCATTTTCTGTTTTCAAAGTCCAAATCAATTGGAAGGCGAAATCGAACCGACCAATCTGATTCAGAGCAGGAAGATTCTGTCCAGGTGAGGAAGATGCGTCGAAAGGAACCTACACCCAAATCAATGGCACCTTCGACGACACAAGCCACTCGTAAAACAAGGAAGACAAACGGAGCTCAAGTCGATCACCCGGAGCCAAAGAGATCAGCTAGAACCACAAAGGTGTCTTACAAAGTGAACTACATGCAAAGGCAGTGATCATCAGGATCCATAGAATGTACTATACAAGGGTGAAGAGTATGAAGTGTATATATATTTACATCATGTTGACAGTCGGTATATTGATATAAGTTGAAATGCCAGCAATAACTCATGGGCAGACTGAAGAACTTCCTGGCTGACATATGCTTCTTCCGGTGACATTGTACTGTGGGGCCGGTCCATCTCCAACCAGTGTATTGCCAAACCCAAATCGCCTACAGCACACTGAATCACAAATCCAATGGGTTCTGGTTCACCATCGGCAACTAAATACCGATAAATAACACTGATGTTTGATGGTATGGGAGACCTACATGACTGATCCGGAAGACCATGTACCGGGTCCGGTGTAGCTGTCCCAAAGCCCATGTCCAGAGGCTTCTGATCAAGTTGAATATCCACTGGATTCACAATCAACAAGGTAAGGCACCACAATGAGAAGACGTACTTGACTGATCCGGATGTACCGGATGGAGTGCACCGAATCCCATATCCAAAGGGTGCTCATCCAGTTGGATTGCATTGAATGCCGGATCCAAGGAGCCAACGTCCAGTTGAAGTGTATTGAATCCCATATCCAAAGGATGCCCATCCGGTTGGAGTTCATTAAATACCGGATCCAAGGGGCAAGCGTCCGGTTGGAGTGTGTTGAATCCCATGTCCAAAGGGTGCCTTTCCGGTTGGAGTGTGTCGAATCCCATATCCAAAGAGCGATCATCCGGTTCAATGTCCACTGGATTGACATGTGAGAATGCAACGAAATATATGAATGACACATACATGAGTGACAGGATGCCGGATCTGTCTGAAAGCCCATGTTCAAAGGAAGCTGGTCCAGTTGCATGTCCACTAAAGTTGCATTGAACAGTGCGACACAACACAATGACAAGACCCACATGACCTAGCCGCAACATCATGCACCGGATCTCTGCAAAAGCCCATGTCCAAAGGCCTCTGGACCACATGCTCATCTTCTTCCAGAAGTGAACTGAAACCCATGTCGAGAGGGTCGTTTTCAATGGACATATCACTCCCTGCATTGAAAATATATACAATTGTCCTCCACATATTTGGTTCACATACCTGAGGTACTGGCCGGACAAACAACTGCCGTGTTTGAAGAACTGTTCATGGTGTCACATGCATGGCGGGGATCTAACTGGCCAGCCGGTTGAAATCCCATGTCCAATGCTAATATGGATGGTGGGGTTGATAACCGGTTAATCTGTGATCGAAGAGGGAATCCCATATCCAATCGGTCGGTCTCCGGTTGACCTGACATCTGGGCAAACCCGATGTCTCCCGACCGGACACATTCCATGTGCTGTAGCATCTTCAAGCGTCTCCCATCCTTCCACCGGTCATGAGCTGACAAGACATCTGAGTCTTCAGAAAATTTCACTTGTTAGTCCTGTGTAGCAGCACAACACGACACTCACATTCCCCCATGCTAGTGCAATTCATCAAAGGGTTGCTGTAGATCTGCCCTGTACCTTGCGGCTCCAAAATGTCGAACACTACCACTGAATGTTCAGTCACTTTCAGGTTCTGAAAGTGGTGGGTGTGTACCTTCGACGTCGTGAGACAATTGCAAGCCATCCTGAGTCTTGTGTGAGGATGATATCTTCTTCCGGCTTGATTGTAGTTTAGTCAGTCTCATCTCTGGGGGATGATATCTTTTTCTGGCTTCGGTTCAATTCTACAGAATATAAGGTCTAAATCTATTGTGTGCGATGGCTGGAATAATGCATTTGTGCTTCCATAGCCTGTGACCGGATGCTTACTTTGGAATTTGATAATGATAATGTACGGCAAGTTCCCACACAGCCATCAAATTCATTCGGCATATCGATCCGGTGTATTGACTACATATCCGGCAATTTCCGAGATGGCCCGGAGATCCGGTACTAGTAAATTCTTCCAGAATTTGCCATTCCCTCCCGGTTCTCTTTTCCAAGCCAACCAGCTGCCGCCATCGTCTTATTGAAAACATGTCTTACAACTCCAATACCTCTGCTGCTGCTGCCACAGCGAACCAGGCACTCATTGTTCTTCTGGACACGTTGAACGAATTGGTTCAACAGGTGCTCTGCTCTCAGTCAGAAGAGGATAAAATGAGATTGAGCCGCACCATTGCTTTTCAATTGGTATGTTTCATATTCTGTTATATATTTTGATATTTCATTCTGCTATAGAACAATGCAGTCCGTTCCCACCTCACGCTTGCCACCTACATCCCCCTTCGCCTGCTGTCGATGGCAGCTGAGGTCCATCGCGCTCAAAGGGGTACTGCACAACTGGTGCAAGTGCCGGATTGGAGTCGGGTCGGGAACAACGAGGACATTTGCCGGGGTCATCCCTTATACCCAAAGACACTCGGTCCGTTGCCTACTGTCACAATTCCTGCTGGCCCATCCTCTGCTCCTGCACCAGCAGGCCCATCTTCTGCTCCTGCACCGGCAGGCCCATCCTCTGCTCCTGCACCGGCAGGCCTATCTTCTGCTCCTGCACCGGCAGGCCTATTCTCTGCTCATGCACTGGCAGGTTCATCCTCTGCTCCTGCACCGGCAGGCCCATCATCAGCTCCTGCACCGGCTGGCCCATCCTCTGCGCCTGCACCGGCAGGCCCATCTGTACCTCAACCAGCAGGCCCAAGTACACCGGCACCGGCAGGTTCAACATCTTCACCAGCACCAGCACAAACCTCGGTGCCACCAATCGCCACTTTGCCGGGTCCCAGTATTGTCATCAAGATCCCAGGTGGTGCAATTTCCGGCCCATCAAAACATCGCAAACGACAATTTAGCGTCAGCCCCCCACGTCCGGTCAAGAGGGCAAGGAAAATAGTCAAGTCCAAGCGAATCTTGAGTGACACTGACACTGACAGCGATGGAGTTCGCATCGAAAAAGGACATGATCAGGTAAAGGGCAAAGGAAAGGCAAGGGCGAGGTCACCATCATCGGATGACGATGCCCAGGAAATAAGGATGAAAGATGCCACTCCTGATCCAGAAGTCAAGGTATGTCTCTTTTCGCATCATTCACCCGCCTAACGATATTACGCAGCCACGGCAGCCGACACAACATCCGCTCAAAAAGGTATGTTCATTTTTGTGTTTTCAGACAAAACTAAACTTTTCACAGGCAAGACCGGTTGTCGACATCCCGACTCGGCTGATGCCACCTTCGAAAACCAGAAACAAGGCAGCCGACCACGCAGAATACGAGCCGGAGGAAGATGTCGAGTCTATTGGCGACAAACAAAAGGTAGGCACTGCTTCTACCTATTGGTGCATGCCTGATCCGGTTGCAGCCACGTCTTGACCAGGTCAAAGACATGAAACCGGTAGGTCTATCTCATTGTAACGCTAATCAGTGCCACCAACGTAATATTGCACAATAGTCTATGTTAGATGCCCAGCATGTAGGAACAGACAAGGACAAGAAGGGGAAGCGTCCACAGCCAGTGAGACGTCCTGCCATTGCCATCCGGACAGATCATACTCATACTCATCCTTCACAGCAACCCATCGGTTCATCTCATCGACCGTTGTCTTGTTACTTAAGGGTCTTATATGAAAGTTGTGTATAATGACAACACAATTATACACGGTGAAGACTTCTTGCCAGTCCTTAAGTCCACGGTCTCCGACTTTTCTACTTCGTGGGAGGTAACGTGGTGAGTTCTTGGGAGGATTTAGTTTGTTGTCCTCTTCTTGTGTAGTCTTATACGAAGTTGTTGTGGAATGTTCTGTGTTCTGGATAAATTCGTTAGGTTTGTTTCAGCCTAGTAGGTCGTGTTTCAACCTATGAAAGTCTGTTTCAACTTTGTCGTCCTTAGATGTGTCTCACTTTCCGTTGAAAGGGAGAGTCTTATGAATACACGTAAAGCTTAGAATGAGAGCTGTTCAATGGTTATATAGTCAACCCCTGTAAGGTAGTATATAACTTTAGAATAGATAATGATATCTTAGATTACCTCAAGGCACTTATATTGGCCTGCACTTTAAGTCTTAGTGGTCTCACACGGTTTGAGATAAGTCAAGTGGGAGGATTGTATTTCATGGGTGAAAATGGGGTCCTTTTATACCTTTTGGGAACCCCCTTACTAAGCATGATTAATCAGATGGATTGGTAAGAATGTGGCTTACAAACCAGGTGATGAATCAGCTTATTACTAAGTACATTACAAATACAGTGTAATCTTACAAAGAAATTAGAAACCATGACAAACCATGACTAAACATGTTGAGTCATGTTAAATGTTGTTACAAAGCATGGCCAATCATGACTAAACATGTTGAGTCAGCTTAAATAATGTTACAAACCAGAATATTTCCCAGTCACATGATGTGATGACAAATAAAAGCTGGTGGCTGAAAGAAGCCAAATACAAATAAACAGTCAGAAATAAATAGAGATACAAAACTTGGTGGCTGAAAGAAGCCAAATAAAAATAAACAATGAGAAATAAACAGAAGGTCACATGCTTGATACAAATACAAGGTAAAATAAGCCTGTAAAGTGAGAAATAAAATACAAGACAATGAAATAAAGGAAAAATAGAGAGGTAACTTAGTGACAAAGGGCTAGACAGTCTCTCATATCTTCCTTATCACTCTCTATATATATCTGACATGGTATGAATCACATACCATGCATGACACCGTGCACGAGATGCATCGCAATGGAAGTAGAATGTCAGAGCTGGCTCACCAAAAAGGGCACGGTAGCCCGGACTTGTGCGCGTTGCAACCAGTGGAGGATGAAATGCATCCGGCCAACGCAACCGGACGCACCTGCAATCACCGTGCCCATACCACCGGCCGCACCCATCACCACTCGCTCGAAAGCTACCATAGTAGTCAAGCAGGCCAAGCAGTCTAGGAAACGCAAAGGCAAGTCTGTCATGTCCGGTTGCGTCCCTACTAAGTCATTCTTTGTCATAGATACTCGGAAGCCTAGTCCTATCCCGGAGGAACCGGATGCTGATGTCGAGATGCTTGATGATGCTCCTACCGTGCCAAGCGCCGCCCCAGTGCCATCCGATGACGATTACCCTGAGAACCATTGGATTGAACCCACGGATGATAGTATCCTACCTCCCTCAGCATTTGAGGAGACACCGGATGAGGCCAGGTACACTCCTGTCTATCCGGCTCGCACTCAAAGGCCCCCCTCCCCTGCCACCACTTCCATGCCCATTCAGTCCCATCGGCCTCCCCGTCCTCTAACCAATGCGGAGATTGAGACCATGCTGGTCCAAATTCAGACTGATATGCAGGAGCTACGCACACATGATGATCTGTCTCGTCGCATCGACGAGCTGCGTGCTACCTATATAGAACAATTCGGCCTCCAGAAGGGACTGGTAGATCAGTTGACTTTCACGGTGGGCGGAATAACGAGGTACTTGAGGGACAACCAAAGGGCTGCTACATCATCGGTAACAACTCCACCCGCATTCAATCCACCACCCATTGTCATCCCCGGTACCCCCATATTCCCTGATTTTGGTTCCATCAGTGCATTAGGTCGTGCTGTTACCAATAATATCTTTACTCCGGATGTGTTCTCGACTGGTGCCGGCCCCGCTGGAGATGGCTCGCCAGTCACAAGGCATGCACAGGCGCCCACATCCGGCTCTACCTCCACAATCAATCTGGCCCCCATCAGAGAATCCGGTGTGCCCATTCAGCCGGTTGTGGCGCTGCCAGTGCCAACTCACGCGGTCCCAATGGAATCCATGCCTTCCACCAGCACCATTCACATGTTGGTCACCGGGTCACCAAATGTACCCGAGGATGGTCAGTCTGTCTCGGCTCCCTTGCCACAGCGCTTATTTGCGCCTCAATCATGCCGAGAAGGTCGGTCGGTCAGTGCTAGGCATGTGAAGAAATCGTCCAGGGATGGGCCCAAGTAATACTAGCATACATGATTCAGTTTTTTCATACTTCTTTGTATCAATGTATTAGATCGACCGGTGAATGCATTTACAATGCACCGGACACATGGCATGTCAGATGACCGGATAAAATTGGATGTACCGGATGATACACTTGTGGGATCGATCCACCCGGTGATAGACTGCGGATGATAGAGTTGACCAGATGTCTGGTGTTATAGGATTCTTCTGACTTAGTTGCTTCCTTGCACGTTGCATCTGTCATGCATGCTATTTTATATTGTACATTTCTATGCTGATGTTTATACTATATCCCTTGGGTACCCATTCATCTGGCCAACCCGTGCATCCGGCCCATTCCTCTCCGGTATCTGGCCTTGGCCCACCCGTTTGCCCTGGGGTACCCATCAATCCGGCCAAACCGTATATCCGGCTCATTTCGCTCTGGTACCTGGGCTCGGCCCACCCGTTTGTCCTGGGCACCAATTCATCCGGCTGACCCATGTATCCGGCCCATTCCTCTCCGGTAACTGGCCTCGGCCCATCCGTGTCATGTGGGTACACGCATCTCGGCCCACCCGTATCCACTGTACACCATTCATTATATATAATGTCCTATATAGTAGTAAATCCCTATACCAATGTCTATACATTTTAACCTCGGCCCATCCGTCTACCTCGAGAATATATTCCGTCGGCCCACCCGCGTCCCTCGAGGACACATTCCCTCGGCCTACCCGTCTCCATTGTAAACCGGATTCACAGGATTCACTATGATGCCCTATATACTAGTACATTCCTATACTACTGTCTGTATTATATACTCCTGGCCCATCCATTTGCCTCGGGTACACACATGACCTCGGCCCACTCATGTATCATGGTACAATTATTGGCATGGGCCCACATGGGATAGCCCGTCCCTATTGGTACATTGTCATGTTTGGCTGCCCATCTGAGACGGGTGTATGTTACTGTATTATGTGTCGGTCAAGCTGCAGCTCATTAAGTTGGATGACGAAGAAGAGGTCCGTGATATATAGCAAGAATTTGCCTTGCCTGATTATGATATCTATGGAGTCAGTGCCGACTCCTCAGCTGCTCAAAGTAAATGGCAAACGAAGGTATGTCACTGTGCATAATTTCAATGTGCGATTCAGTGTGAACAACAATTTGATGACCATCACTTCAGAAACAACTCCCACTCATTTCTGATCCAAAGAGGTCGTTGATAGGCGTTCTTGAGGCTGGTGATGGAAATAAGATGAAATGCAGTCATTTTGTCTTTGAGAAGGGTGGTAAGCTTTTGGATCAGCGAATGCCTGTGAAGCCGGTAGACAGGTGCGTTCCATGTCACTGTACTGTGTTTTTCTTTCTCATTCATCGATATGGCATACCTCAGTCCCCGTCTAGTGTCGAAATCATCGAGGCCAGAAGTCGAACATGCTAATTCATATATATGTTGTGCTGCACAGTTAATACTATTGTAATTTACTAATTCAATGTTTTTTCATCTCCTGTACGACCATATAGCTGGTCGTATGACTGTATGATGACCCGTACCGTACCGTCGAACATTTTGAATGTATTGTACGACAGAGGGTACGGTACAGGTAGTACCCGTAAGCCCGCCGTAAATTGTACGGCCGTAACCATATATGGTTACGGTGGCCAGCCCTAGTTGTACATTTGCCTTCAAATGGTAATATATGTGATTGGAAAAAGTGTTACCATGGGGTATACCCATGCTAATCCCTACTCCCTGCTCCCTGCTCCCTGCTCCCTGCTCCCTGCTCCCTGCTCCCTGCTCCCTGCTCCCTGCTCCCTGCTCCCTGCTCCCTGCTCCCTGCTCCCTGCTCCCTGCTCCCTGCTCCCTGCTCCCTGCTCCCTGCTACCTGCTACCTGCTCCCTGCTCCCTGCTCCCTGCTCCCTGCTCCCTGCTACCTGCTACCTGCTCCCTGCTCCCTGCTCCCTGCTCCCTGCTCCCTGCTCCCTGCTCCCTGCTCCCTGCTCCCTGCTCCCTGCTCCCTGCTCCCTGCTCCCTACTCCCTGCTCCCTACTCCCTGCTCCCTACTCCCTTCTCCCTACTCTCATACTCCCGTCTCCCGTCTCCCGTCTCCCGTCTCCCGTCTCCCGTCTCCCGTCTCCCGTCTCCCGTCTCCCGTCTCCCGTCTCCCGTCTCCCGTCTCCCGTCTCCCGTCTCCCGTCTCCCGTCTCCCGTCTCCCGTCTCCCGTCTCCCGTCTCCCGTCTCCCGTCTCCCGTCTCCCGTCTCCCGTCTTCCTGATCTCTCTGTTTCCCATCTCCCATCCTCCCGATCTCCCTGTTTCCCTGTTTCCCATTTTCCCATCCTCCCCATCTTCTGTTCTCCTATCTCCTCCCATTCTCCCTGTTTCCCATTCCCAATTTTCCTGTCTCCTCACTATCTCCTGTTCTCCAGTTGTCGAGTCTCTACTTTCTCTATTTTTTATTTATTTTTTCACAACCTTTTCTCATTCATTTCCTGTCACCACATATATTTGTTGTCCCCCTGTCTGCAAAATTATATCATGTTGTTCCATTTTCAATTTTATTATTTACTGTATGCATGCAACATAAACAATTACATTACAATAAGGAAAATACTTGTATTGCGTAGTGCGCTGCTCTAATGGGCAAGTGAGTCGGCGCTCGAAAGCCACGTGAGAAAACC